CCTGCTTAGGGATGCGCCCTGCAGAGGTGAGGGATGAGCAGAACCCCTTCACTTCTGCTGCTGCGTGGGCCACTGCACCGGCTGCTTGATCTGCTGCTGTTGCTGCTGGCATGGAACGGGAGCCACGGGGCCCTGAGCAGGCACAGTGACCACGGGACCCTGAGGCTGCAGGACCACCACGGGCGTCACGTCCTGCACGGCGCTCACTTCGTGGCAGGTGACCTCCTCAGAGCCATGGCAGGAGGAGCCCCCGCTGTGGCAGGAGGAGCTCTCAGAGCTGTGGCAGCCTCTGTCAGCACGGGAGCACATCTTTGGTCAGAGCAGGAGCACTGGGAAGGAGAAGAGCCTTGTGTTGAGATGCACGCACCTTTCCATGCTCTGCTTTGCATTCAGATTTCCACCGAGTGTTTCCGCACCCAGCAGGATCGACTCCTCTACCCATCCTGCTTCCCCACTTTGGGGCTTTGCTTTCACATCACCACCCCACTCAGTGCCCCTGCTGTCACCCTGATCTTCGTGTCATTCAAGCTTCACATTCCTGCTCTCCCTGGATGCATCTCACAGGCACTCGTGCAGGATGTGCTGCAATAATCCATGCCACGGAGGAGTGGATGCGCTGCCTGCTGTCAATTTATATTGCAGCAACACTTGGATAAAGGAGCCTCAAAATGGGGTTCCCCGCCACAGGTGGTAAATTTACAGCCAGGACTGATGGTATTGGAGACACAGCAGAATACGTTTTCAAAGCCAGCTGCTCAAACTGAAGGAACTCCTGTGCCTCCCTCCCTCCTTGTGCTGTCTTCACTCACTGTGTGCCCTGCAGACCCTCAGCTCATAGCTGCCTAATGCACCAGGACACTCTATGCACACATTTGACCCCCTGGGAGAGAGCAAGCCCCTGGGGCTGAGGTTGCAAGAAGGCAGGAAGCACACAGGCTGTGCTCACAGAGCTGGAGGCTCTCAGGGCTGCTCCTGCCCCTCTGAGATTAGATCTGCCTTCTCTGTTGCTTCCTGGACTTCTTCAGGGAGAGCTTAATACTTACAACCCACAAACATTTACATTTTCTAAAGCGGCTTACTGAAGGAATCAGGCTCATTAATGCGATTAAAGCCCCATCACTCATTCATTCCCACATCCCCTGCTTTATTCCTTTTATTTCCAGCCCATCCTTTGATAACTAGAAACCTGAAGCAACTCTGTCCTGGCAACAAATTCTGCTTCCTAGCAGAGGCAGATAGAGAGCTGTGATGGAGCAGAATTGCTTCTGCCCGTGAAACAGAATCTCCATAATCTCAGCACCTGCAGAAGGAGCCATTCCTATAAGAGCACAGCACAGCTTCATTCTGCACATTTCCCTGGCAATGCAATGTTGGCCACGCAGCAAACACTCACCTTGTCTGGAAAGGTTGCGCAGAGGGAACGGATCCGAGTGAATGAGCTCCTCTCCCATTTGGGAACTTTTATACGGTTCCTCGCTCTCTTCCTGAAAACCCCTGGGGAAAATGACCAACGTATTTACAAAACAGCCCCACCTTAATTACCCACACCTTCAAAAGCTTATTCAACCCGGTTCCTTTGATTGACTTGTCATATGGTAGATTGTCTTCCTTGTGTTACACAGCTTTAATTGCCACCCTGCCCCACGCGGGTTGTAATGCACGAAGAGTGAAAACCGTGTGGGTGGCTTGGCTGTCTCACTGTCATGCCAGGATGAGTTTTCTATTGCAAAACGGATGGCAAAGGTGGCAGATTTTGGGTTTCTGCCTTGCTGAAACCTCTCACCCAAAGCCTGAGGAGGAGGAGAGGTGACGGTGCAGGGTGGGGGTCTTCCTCCAGTGCCAGAAATGAGGCACTCTGTTAGAAACAAAGTCTTCACCACACATCCCCTGTTAGCATCCTCCAGGTGCTCTCATCCATCAGACATCCGGAGCTGCCAGCCAGCAGTGTGGCTCTGCAGTACCACTCTTGTCCCCCTCTGTCTGCATGCATCATTTCCTACAGCAATCAAAGGAGGATAACAAAGCGGGGGCATTGGGCATACTGAGAGCTGCAAAGTGCCTTGGCAAAGCCAGGGAGGAGGCTGACTGCTTCAGGAAGCCTTGGCTTAAATCTGTGAATAATGTCTGCATGCAGCATGGTTCTTCTACTCATCTTCCTTCTGTTTGTGCCTGATTTTTACAGCCATTCACTGGTATTGACCACTAATATCCATTGCCTATGTTTTTTTCCTGGCCAACGCTGGCAAGCACCAAACAGAATTGCTCTTTTAAAATATCTGTTTTTATACTTCTTGATTTTTTCCCCTGACATCTTTGCCTGCAGTGGCCGTTGTCCGTGATGGGAAACGCGCACCGACAGCCGCTGATTGAGCAAACCCCAGGTGTGAGCAAGCTGTGAGCAAGGCGCTGAGGTCAGGGCCTGCCACCCAGCTCACCCCACTCTTCCCCGGTGCTCTGGGTGCAAAGCAGTGGCTGTTGCAACCCTGGCTGCTCACCGGGCCCTGCAATCCCCATGTGCAACCACAGCTTTGCATTTCACCACCACTTACTCAGCTCCTGGCCCAGGGCTGAGCTGCAGCAGCCCTGATCTCTCCTTTTCCTGACCATGCTGTGCTGTTACAGCAGCATTCAGTGCTTTTACTTGTTTTGCATCTCGGCTCCCTCTGCAATCGTGAGGTTTTGGTGGTCTGAGATTGATGGAACCTCAGGATTAGCTCCCACTCACTATCTCCAAAGCCATTCCTTTAGTTTCTATCCAGAGGCATTGGGTGGGACTTTTATCCAGCAGCCAGACTCCTGTTGCTGGTTCATCTTGCCTACTTACAAACAGAAGCATAGTGACTATGGCGTTTGCAAGCAGCAACACGCGTGGGGATGCTATCGCAGAGCTGCAGCCATGAGAAGTGAATGATTCCTCCCTGCATGAACGGTGAGCAGGAGGAAATATGCAGGTGTGAGAGAGTGCACCAGCTGCACAACTTTGCATCTCTCCAGACGTGGAGGGAGAAGCCCCATTTGCTGGAGTGCAAAGAACAGCAGAAGGACACAGCCCTGGCAACACGGACACAAGAGCATCCTCCTCTGCTGGGTTCGTTTAGTATTAAGTTCCAGCTCATTTATCACCTAAGCTTGTGCAGTACTTTTTGAGAGGAGCCTCAATGAACCAGAAAGTGGGGCAGGGAATTAGAAGTGGACTTTTCAAGTGTTTTTCTTTTTTTTTTTTTTTTTTTTGAGGTGTGTGAGATTTTGGAGTGGTTTTAGGCCAGTATGTTGAATAGATGTCTGTGGATGCTGTGGACTTCATTAGGTTTTGGAAGTTGTTGGAGCTTTCTGAGTGCTCTGCTCCCTCTGACCCCAGCGGACGAAGCAGGGAGAATAAGAGGAACCAATAATGAAGTGTTGGATTTGAGAAATACGAGTAGATGCCAATAAATGATAACGCTGTCTAATTTTAGAATGGAACTTATTATGGCGGGTGACAAAATCTTGAGTAACGCTCCCGGCACCGCAGCTCTCCATCTTACAACACTTGGCTGTGTGCAGGCGCCCATTGTGACACTGAGCGTGGGGCTGGGAGCTGCACTGCTGAAGGAAAAATAGAATCATTTAATCATAGGATGGCCTGGGTTGAAAAGGACCACAGTGACCATCAGTTCCAACCCCCTGCTGTGTGCAGGGTCACAAACCAGCAGACCAGGCTGCCCAGAGCCACATCCAGCCTGGCTCTGAATGCCTGCAGAGATGGGGCATCCACAACCTCCTTGAGCAACCTGTTCCAGTGCTTCAATACCTTCTGTGTGAAAAACTTCCTCCTAATATCCAACCTAAACCTCCCCTGTCTCCATTAAGACTTCCCCCTTGTCCTATCACTATCCACTCCCGTAAGCAGCCGTTCCCCCTCCTGTTTATACACTCTATTCCAGTATTGGAAGGAACATCAGGGGAAGTTTTATGGGTGTTCGTGGAGCTGGAAGAGCCAGAATCCTCCCAGGTGGTTGAAAACAGAAATGGCAAAACATATTTTACAGTGGAGCTGTGTGTCCTTTTCTCTCCCTTTGAGCAGGCGCAGAGCTATGGGTGCTTTTTGTTCCATTACAAATATTTGTAGAGAGCCATCCTGGAGCTCTAAATATTTGGCCAACACCATCACTGGTACTTGAGCACCTCTGCTCTGAACTGTCAGCTCAGCACAGAGGAACCATCCTCTCCCTCCTCCTAAATTAGGGCCTGATCCTATCGCACAGTGCCATGAAGCAGGTTGCTGCGAGCAACAAAACCAGCTCGCTGGAGTTGCCTCACACTGTTGGTGCAAGCACATGTCTACGTGCTCAGCTTGCGCCATCTCCTGCAATCTGCCGGATGGGGGCCGGCCGTGAAATCGGTCCCAGTAAACAGAGCTGCATTCTCAAGGTCACGTAGTAAATAATAATCATGGGGAAATCACCTGGGCATTCTGCAGCTCTGCTCGTAGGGGCCGGGCTGCGTGCAGTTCTGAAGGGCCCCATTGGGAATGTGGGAGCAGCACGAGGGGCTCTGATGTCTGCCATAGCCAGGAAGCAGCTTTTCCTGCTGTTGTAAACAGTGTATCTTAATTGTGTTAAAATCAATGTCTTATTTAATTAATTTAGTTGTAAAGTACATATCGTTTCAATAGGAAAATCAATTTTCTGTTGCCCATCTTGAAGTGATCTCTTTGGGTGTCTTGTAGATATGCCAAATGAAGGAGGAAAGAATGAAGCAAATTATCCTGATGCTGATGTTCCTATAGAGCTTGAGGTTTGATTTCCCAACCCAAGAGAAAAATGGGAAGAAGGAAGGAATCTTTTCCCAGCCTATGAGAAAAAGGAGAGGGTGGAAGGGATTTTTTCCTCTCACTGAAGCACAGATGCCCTTCCCGATGCTGGAAGAACAGCCTGATGGGAGGAATGCAGAGCTCCTGGTCCATGGCAGAAGTCACAGCGTGGTACATCTGGAGCACAGAGTGAGATCTGCAGCGTCCTTCATTTCTTCTGGCTGGGGGGCCACTGGCAGCTCTGTTTGATCTGTTGGGGCTCAATGTCGGGAATGACCACGGGGCACTTCTGCTGCATAACCTGTGCCATCCCAGCACCTCCAGAGCTGAGCTCTCCCCCGGTGCCATAACCTGATGCTCCACCATACATCCCCTGTCCAGCACTTGTGCTTACAGCCTTTTGCCTCTGCGATGCATCGTACCCATAGCCAGAACCTCTCCCAACACCCAATTTCCCACCGTAGCATCCCGATCCTCCGCCGCCTGCTGAACCACTCACTGTACCCCATCCCGTGTCCTCAGTGCCATATCCCACTGCCCCCCGGGGGCTGTAGGTTGGGACTGTCCCTCCTGTTGTGCTCCATCCACGTGCCCCTTCACTATCACCCCCAGATATTTCAACAACCCCATCGCTGCTGGGCGTGCACCCCGCTGTGATGCTATAGGGGAAGGACGTGGGTGCAGCTCCCCGGCTGTAGATGATGGAGCCCTCTCCGCTGCAGTAGATGGAGCCACGTCCCTGCAGGCTCGAAGTGCCCCCGTAGTGTGAGGAGATGCCATTGCTGTAACCCCTGTTCCGGCGGGAGCATCTCCCTCGTAAAAATTGAAAGATCTGAAAGAGGAAAAAGAAAACAACACCCGTTATTGCTTCATTTTTACACCACGGCAGTGTCCCATGGCAACGCTCTGCTCTTCTTCAAATAGGTGAACATTTACTGGGACATTTTCTGTTTCCTATCTCTAGGCTGCATTTTGGGAGAATCAAAAGCTGAACTAATTGAACACCTCGGAACTGCTGCAGTTTCGCCCTCTCAATCCTCAGGCTGAGCTGTAAAGATAGCACGGATTATCCCTGATTCTGCTTTTAAAGTGTTGCAAAAGCGGTGTATCAGGATTTCCAAGCAAGGCGACATTGCTGGCTGCATTGTTGTATCCACTGCATTCCCAATGGGCTTTAGATAAGCGGCACAGCCGTGAGAGGTGCGTAACCACCACGAAGGACAACACAGACTTGTCATTAAATCATATCAAAGAGATGTCCCGCACCTTATAAACATGTTGAAAGCATTGATGGCTCTGCCGGTCCCAATGTGCCGAGCCCACCACAGCCTTAGCTGGGTGTTCAGCCTGCTTGTGGCTCCCAGTGGTTTGATTTCACCTCTCCTCCCAGCAGCAAAATGGGAGTGCAGTAATGAATGCACCATAGCTAGAAGCACCAGAACGGTGCTAAGGATGCTCAGGCAGTGGGGTACTGTTGCAGATACACCCCAAGATCCCAAATGAAGCCATCCAGCTCCCATGAATGTGCCATCATAAAGCTGCAGAAAAAGCAGACTTACCCTCCTCAGCCATCGGAAACACATTTAGAAGGTTAAAGTTGACTGAATGAAGAGCTTTAAGACACGGGAACTTTTATAAGGTGTTCAGCATAGATGGGAAGTGAGACACGCAGAGGAATGGCAAGGATTTATTTACCAATCAAACACTGATCTCAATGTTTGCTTTGACTCATGACAACTGATCAATATCTCCCCACTGTCCTGCACGAGGCAGTAATTGCTACTGCTGCTTAATAACCCCATTTTTCTGCCTAATTACTTTATTCCTGTCCTCCTGCCCCGAACAAGGACCACTGCGAGGCAGATCTGCTGGGGGAGGTGGGTGGGAGTGTGGGTGTAAGAGATGCTAAGCATGAAGATTGGTGCATGCAGGACAGAGGGTGGCAGTGAGTGGAGAAAGAGCAGAAAGATGTGGTTCAGCAGCACGACACCATTTGCAACACAGATGTCACTGCAAGGGCAGATGGGGTCAGCAGGTACCCAGGACGGAGAGGATGCAGCCCAGGGCTGCACACAGCACCTGATCTCTCCATCCTTTCACTGATGGCTCCAGAGAGACATTTGAATCAGAGTAAAGCAGCCAGCTTGGGTGATTTGTGAGGATGCGACGGGGAAAGGTTAAGGATCCTGGAGATAACTGCAGAGGTTTAAATGACCAAACATCTAAACCCACTGTGGCTGGATTATTCCTGGCATGTAGGAGACATCCACCAGCTGTCCTCCTTCTGCATCTACCTGTGCTGTGCCCTTGGGAAGACCACGGACCCAGGATCTGATGGGATGTGCTGGGGATATGCAGTGGCTGTGCTGGTCCCACTGCCTTGCATGATGTCCACATAAAAGTCTCCGTGCTCAGCTCAGCTCGTGGTGCTGGACCAGACCTGTTCAACTCTGAGCAGTTTCCCCAGAGGGGCAGGGAGTCCCAGCTTTGGCAATAGGCCACATTTACTGGACACGCGAGCAGCACAAAGAGGTGGTGCTGCTGCCCTCAGCATTTCATTTCAAAGCAGGTTTCCAAACACGGACAAGGAGGAATTAAGGCCTGGAGGCATGGTGTGCCATGCTTTCACAGCCTAAGGGCCGTGCTGCTGGCTTTATTTCCTTCTGCTGGCCCAGGGATCATTCATCCAATGCAGCGTGGGAGGCTTTCTTCCGGGCAGAGCTGTTCTAAGTTTTGCAAAGCTAGGTGGGAAGGTGTACCACAAGGACATGGACATTGGTATGGCATTGGGCCACTCTGGGCAGCAATAATTGCTAATTTGGACTTCCACTGCTTCAGGTTGGAATCCAACAGCCTCAGCTGCACCATCCAAAGCTCTGTGTTGCTCCACAGGCATAAACATTGGGTGCTGCTGCCCCAGAGGAATCAAAGCCATGAGCTGGGGTGACAGTGAAAGGGAAACATTAAAGCAGGAGTCAAGCGGACAATGGAAGCTGTGGGTGTTTGATGCTTTAGGACATGTTGTTGATCTACTTTGGAGCCCAGAGGAAAAGAATGGTGCAACAGCCTCCTGGACTCTACGGTGCATTGGCTTTAGGGCTGTGACAATGCAATGCTGAACTTCTCAATGGAGGACTCAATTAACTTACCAGATATATTTCCTACTACCAAGATAATGAGACGCTGTGTGAGAAAGCAAGAAAAAGTAAACTCAAAAATAAGTCTACTTTGCGATGTCATGATTTTTATTAGGTGCTATACATGCTTATTGAAAATACAGCAGAATTTGAGCAAAGAATTCACAAAAACAGCATGGGGCAGGAGTTTGTTAAGCCTGGAGTTCATGGCATAGCAACGGAGCATCAAGGGTTGAGAAGAGGACATGTGGTGGGGAAGAAGACAAACATGGGAAATGGGACAAGGCAGCAGAAAAAGGCAGGGCTGTTATTGCTGAGTGCTGGGCTGCCAGGGGCGTTCACTTCTGCTGGCCTGGTTCTGCTTCAACTGGTTTACTGTTATCTGCACTGAAATCCTTTCAGGAAACCCAGTGCTTTGCTTCCTCATGTGGGAAGGGGAAATAAGTGGAGCTATTCACCAAGTGCAGCTTATGTGGATATTAATGAGGGACACAGACCATTTGCTCATGCAACAATGGCTCTCCTAAGCAAGACCTGTTAATACCCATAAGCTGCAGCACTGAAGGCTGAAGGTTTCTCAGCAGAATGCATTCAGGAGATTATTCACTGAATGAAAGTATATACAATAAAAGTAAAAGGAGAAAGAATAAAAGCAGCGCTGCAAAACCAATTCTTTCTGAACACAGTGTTTTTTATTGCACTTCACATTGGAGGATGAGAAAAGTCATTAGGGAGTTCTCAACGTGGGGATGCAGGATCAATGGACAAGAAGAAACGTGGTCATATGGAGAGGCAGGAGGACAAGGTAGCAGAAAAAGGCAGGGCTGTTATTGCTGAATGCTGGGCTGCCGGGGGCGTTCACTTCTGCTGGCCGGGGAAGTAGCAGGCCTGCTTGGTCTGGTGGCTCTCAATGTGAGGAATGACAATGGGGCATTTCTGCTGCGAGGACTGGCCGTACCCACCACTGCCTCCTCCAGAGCCGATGATGATGGTGTGGCCTGAGGAACCGCCACTGCCCCCACCGGAACTCCCACCACAGCATCCAGAAGCTCCTCCACTGCTGCCACCTCCTGAAATTATGATCTTGCCTCCGGAAGATCCACCACTGCTGGATCCCCCACCACAGCATCCAGAGGATCCTCCACTGCTCCCACCTCCTCCAGAGATGGTCTTGGATCCCGAGTAACCACCACTGCTGTATCCTCCTCCCGTGCCATAGCCTGAGGATCCTCCACTGCAGCATCCAGAGGATCCTCCACTGCTCCCTCCACCTCCAATAATACTCTTGGATCCTGAGTAACCACCACTGCTGTATCCTCCTCCCACACCATAGCCTGAGGATCCACCACTGCTCCCTCCTCCTGAAATTATGATCTTGCCACTTGAAGACCCACCACTGCTGGATCCCCCACCACAGCATCCAGAGGATCCACCACTGCTGCCACCTCCTCCAATGATACTCTTGGATCCTGAGTAACCACCACTGCTGTATCCTCCTCCTGTGCCATAGCTTGAGGAGCCCCCACCACAGCATCCAGAGGATCCTCCACTGCTCCCTCCGCCTCCAATGATACTTTTGGATCCCGAGTAACCACCACTGCTGTATCCTCCTCCTGTGCCATAGCTTGAGGAGCCCCCACTGCAGCAGCCAGAGGATCCCCCACTGCTCCCACCTCCTGAAATTATGATCTTGCCTCCGGAAGATCCACCACTGCTGGATCCTCCACCACAGCATCCAGAGGATCCTCCACTGCTTCCACCTCCTCCAATGATACTTTTGGATCCTGAGTAACCACCACTGCTGTATCCTCCTCCCGTGCCATAGCCTGAGGATCCTCCACTGCAGCAGCCAGAGGATCCCCCACTGCTGCCACCTCCTGAAATTATGATCTTGCCACCTGAAGACCCACCACTGCTGGACCCTCCACCACAGCATCCAGAGGATCCTCCACTGCTCCCTCCGCCTCCAATGATACTCTTGGATCCCGAGTAACCACCACTGCTGTATCCTCCTCCTGTGCCGTAGCTTGAGGAGCCCCCACTGCAGCAGCCAGAGGATCCTCCACTGCTCCCTCCTCCTGAAATTATGATCTTGCCGCCTGAAGACCCACCACTGCTGGACCCTCCACCACAGCATCCAGAGGATCCACCACTGCTTCCACCTCCTCCAATGATGCTCTTGGATCCCGAGTAACCACCACTGCTGTATCCTCCTCCTGTGCCATAGCTTGAGGAGCCTCCACTGCAGCATCCAGAGGATCCCCCACTGCTGCCACCTCCTGAAATTATGATCTTGCCACCTGAAGACCCACCACTGCTGGACCCTCCACCACAGCATCCAGAGGATCCACCACTGCTTCCACCTCCTCCAATGATGCTCTTGGATCCCGAGTAACCACCACTGCTGTATCCTCCTCCCGTGCCATAGCCTGAGGATCCTCCACTGCAGCATCCAGAGGATCCTCCACTGCTCCCTCCGCCTCCAATGATACTCTTGGATCCCGAGTAACCACCACTGCTGTATCCTCCTCCTGTGCCATAGCTTGAGGAGCCCCCACTGCAGCAGCCAGAGGATCCCCCACTGCTCCCACCTCCTGAAATTATGATCTTGCCACCTGAAGACCCACCACTGCTAGATCCCCCACCACAGCATCCAGAGGAACCTCCTCCTCCTCCTCCTCCTCCTGAGCTAATGATGATCTTCTGGCCTGATCCCCCACTGCCACCACTGTATCCTCCTCCTATGCTGTATCCTGAGGAGCTCCCGCAGCAGGAGGAGCCCTGTGCCTGGTAGCTGGAGGAGCTGCCCCCACTGCAGCATCCCCCAGACTGGGAGGATGACTCGTGGCAGCCTCCGGAGCTCTGTCGGGAACACATCTCTGAGCAGCGGTCCTGCAGGAAATCACATATTTGTTACTGATAAAAAGACACTGCTATCAAAATGATCTCAGACAATACAGCTATTGTTCCACTGAAAGTATAGTTCCCAGAATTCACTGAATTTCCTTACAGATAATTGTCTTCTATTTATTCCAACCACATATAATGCCTTTACTATCAAGACTGCACAACACTACTGAAGACAGTCAACATAATCTCCTGAATTTAGAGTCTTTTATTCCATAAATCTTCCCTCTGGATCTCAGTCCTTACGATTTCCAGTATCATATAGTGATCCTTCTTCAGCTAATATCCGCAAGACATTTACATTTACCAAAACAACACCCCTAAGCTTCAAGCCACCACCCATCTGGTGTGCTCCACCAAGGCATTTCTGTTTTGCAAGCACAAAAATCAGAAGAATTGCTCCCATACGCAGAAACGGACTTACCCTTCTCGGTTCTGATGACACGTTCAACGGCGCAATGCTGAGCGAATGATGCGCTACGGAACCAAGCAACTTTTATACTGCTTCTAGTTTTGCTAAGTGGGTTGTGAGGCATCCAGAGGAATGATGATGGGTTTATTTATGAACAGATTGTGCTCCTTCAGGCCAGTTGTCCTCTTGACTCATCGAATCAGATCAATGCTTTTCCCTTGCATCACTTCCTAGGCTACTCAAAGTCTGGGTGCGGATCTCATGTGAGCTCTGCTCCCATGGTTGTGTTTGAAGGTAGGAGCTGCGGGGCTCCAGTGCCCTGCACGTGAGCTAGGGGATGCTGCTGGGATGGTGTGAGGACTTGTGTTTATTATTCATTACAATCACAGAATCACAGAATCATTGAATCCTTGAAGCACTGAACCATTCAATCATTGAATCATTGAACCATTATGGTTGCAAAAGACCATTAGGATCAACTACTTGAACTGTCAACTCATCACTGCAATGGAGATATCTGGAAGAAAGGATAGAGCTGCAGTAGTTGGGAGTGCTGTTGCTGGGATGGCAGAGGGGAGTAGGAGATGCCCACATGCTTGGACACCTCACCGTGCCAATCTAGCATGGATCATTTTTTTGCATGTCCCGCTATGGGCAGCACAGAGGTCAGGTAGGATTTACGCTGCCTCTTGGAATTAGGGGTGATACCTGCTCCAGCATAGAACCCGAGTGCTGGAGGTAAAGGGTAGAGGCCCCAGCCACTGGCCAGTTCTGGATCCATTCCTGCATGCTGCTTGGTGCAGCTTGGCAGGGTCCTTGTGTCCCACTTGGTGCTTGGTGATTCCCTGGGCACTGTCCTGGCTGGATCGCCTGGATGTGGTGGGCTTGGGATGCATCCACAGCCATCAGTTGCAAGGGGTTGAGTTGGGTGGGGGAGGCCACACCACTGCAACAGGGCTGAAACTGGAAGCAGCAGCACGGGTACCTCTTCATTCCCACCCAGTGGGTCGTCTCAGTTCCCCCAGAATTTCTCTCTCTTCGGTATTTACTCTCAAAGACTACTTTTCTTTTAAAAATTAGTTAGCCAGCCTGTTTGAAGCAGTAATAAAATGGAGAGTGGAGCGGCCAAGGTTGTCTGCCAGAAGAATTAAATATTACTGTTTATTTTACATTCCGCATTGCAGCTGTTAATTGACAGAACGTACCACATCAAAGGAATCACTTCCCATAGGGAAACTCCCTCTGAAGACTCATACCTGAAGCAGTGTTTTATCCCTGTGTGAGTGAGGAGCTCCCCAGTTATTCCAGGCTTGGCATCTCAGCACTGGAAGGGGCTGTCTGCTATCCTGTCCCTGATGCTGGATGCTCCAGGAGCTCAGAGCTGGAGCCAAGGTTTAACAGACCTCGTGTCTCTTAGTGCAGCCGTGAGCAGCAAGAACTCCTTCATCATTCAAGGGGCTCAGCCTCACACTTGTGAAGGTACCCTGTAATTCTTTGAACTAAAGTGTGAAGAGCTTTTGCATTTTCCCTCTCATATCTACACCTTCCTTGGGCATCGTGTGGTACCTAGGTGAAGGAGACTTCTTCCAATGTTCAACTTTGGGGTACTATATCTGATAGGCAAAAGTCAGGATCGTGTGTAGCAACTGATATTTAAAGATGACCTAAAATATTTAGGGAATCCTACCTCTCTTCTACAGTGGGTTTGCAATGCATTTGTGCTCTGGAGTTTTTTATTAAAACAGCATAACCTCAGAAAGAAATCTTGGTGAGTGAAATAAAGAAAATGTGTGGTGTAAACAGAACGCAAGCACTCAGACACTGAAGTTCTCTAGAGCTGCAGTTTTATTGCCTTGTGCAAACACTAGAAAATTGAGGCAGAAAATAGACATGATGTAACCTCACATGTGGCTGCAAGTTGGTGACACACACCACTGGAGGTTCTGGTTGGCTGGAGAGATGAAGAGAAAAATTCCAAGGAAGAGGAGAAAGGAAATCATGCAAGTATTCTTTTATTTACCAGAGTAAGAAATGTAATAATGTTTGCATCCTGGGCTTTCCTGTTACAAGATTCTCTTCTAAAGCTTCTACTTGTGTTTAGTCTGTGGTGGCCAGGAGATAGGCTGAGTCTGCTGTTGTATGGACATGCCTCCAGAGCCAGACGAACCACCTCCACCAGAGCCTCCTCCAATAACGCAGATGGATCCTTGGCCCTGATGACCAGAACCACCCCCACCTCCTCCACCACCTCCTCCTCCTCCAATGCAGATGGGACCTTGGCCCTGGTAGCCGGAACCACCTCCTCCTCCTCCTCCTCCACCTCCACCAATGCAGATGGGTCCTTGGCTCTGGTGTCCAGAACCTCCTCCACCTCCTCCTCCTCCTCCAATGCAGATGGGACCCTGGCTTTGGTGACTAGAACCACCTCCACCCCCACCTCCAATGTAGATGGGTCCTTGGCCCTGGTGGCTGGAACCACCACCACTTCCACCTCCAATGCAGATGGGTCCCTGGCTTTGGTGGCCAGAACCACCTCC